CTACAGTAATTCCTTTATGACCGAAGTGAAGGATAAATCCAAAGCTTCCCACTCAAATAGCTGCATGACAGTGACAATGAGCATGCCCGCACCTGATTCCTTATGATGAGCTGCACAGCAATTATGGCGGACATCCTTGCATTTGAATACCTCTCAAATTCTCGGTCCCGAAATAATCGTCTGGATAAACACGTCAGGTTTCGATTATCTTGCTTGGCATGCCACGTGGGTTCCTCATTGGATCCTATAAATACCCCCACGGGCCACGTCAAAAGGTAATTGAAACCAACCCTAAGCTCCTTTTATCTTTGCTCTAAAGGTAGTCCCGATTATTGCTAACTTAAGTATCGGAGTGTCTACCCCGAATTCCATCTCGGGGCTTTGCAAGTCAATCCGGAGTGCAGACGCAGATTGAAAAGGAACTTCTGGTTTGGTGTAATTACAGAATTATGATGTATGGTTAGTTCTTAAAAACTTAATTTGTCAATCTTTTATTTTTACCAATCATCAGTTGTCTTAAATACACGAGCAAGAATGAGAATTTTCGAATTGTGGGTGGTCATGGATATACGTAGGGTGTCATAGAGATCTCGTACTAACGATTATCTTAATTTAATTATTCAATTTGTGTCTTCTTCATGGGTTTAGTAAGTATTATATATGCATGCAAGAAATTACGTTCTCTTTTCAGTTTTCTAGGCGGCAATCTCAAGATGGAGACGTGTCAGTCATCATGTCCATTTTTATGTTTTTTGTTACTTTCTTCCGTAGTTAAGTTAGCTAATTTGACAGTAGGAAATTCAGCCTTAACATTACTTTTTTTTTTTTTTGTGATAAGAGTAATAGTTAGGAAGTTAATAGAATTAGTTTGTTAGTAGCTGAAATTTTCCAAAATAGTGAATATTTCACCCCCTTATATGAGGCGTGCGGCCATTAAAACACAAGTTGGTGAAGTTCACGGCGACGGCAGAACTCGAAACCTTAACCACTACCTCACCCAAGCCCTGAAGGTTGAGGACCAACCATTAGGTCCCAGCCCGGTTCCTACCTTAACATTACTTTTAAATTTTAAAGAAAGTGAGAGAAAAAATTCTTATTCTTTTTAATGTTAATCATGTTAAAGATAGCTCATTTGCAAACGTCAACGACTAAGAAATTTTGTAAATTTTTTTGGATAAAAAATTTTAAATTCTTTGATAAATGAATATAATATATCACTTAAATTGATAATAAACATCATATTAGTAAAAATAAAAGTCTAATATGTAATACTAATAATAAAAATGTGTGCTCAAGACGGATATATCTAACCAATTAAAAAAGAAAGTTAATTATTTTTTATTAAAAAAATTTATTATTAACTAAAAAGATAAAGAATACTCCCTTACGCATAATTTATATATTCAGCTTATATAAAAATCAAGCACCTTTTAAAAGTCTGTTGATATTGTACACATAGCAAGATTATAATTCCAATCATGAAGAGACAATCTACAACTTTTTAACTTATCCTTCAACCAAAGAAATGATTTGTCTGAATGATTTCTACCAACTTGTAGCACCCCATAAATGCCATGTAGTGGATATAAACAAGAGGACCAAACACCTCTTAACTTGTCATTTTGCCAACTTCGAGTAATTAAGTTGTCTAAAAGCCTCACAAATAGAATCAGTTAAGGCATGTTGAATTCACCACCATTCAAAGATTTTCTTCCAAAGCTGGTACACGAAGGAACATTTTAACATAAGATATATCACGTTAAATGATCTTGAGAGTACATCTCCTATATTAATTTAGTATATTTAAAAAATTGATAAAAATTTTTAAGTACCCAAAAATTGAATTTTAATTAAACCTAATTTATGAGTTAATATTTATTTGCCAATAAATCTTATCCTTAATTCAATTTTAATTGGTTTTTGGATTAAGGTTTGATTATTCCATTTTGAGAAATACAGATCAGCAGATGAATGAAACTAAAATCAATACAACATTAAATAAACTGTGCGTAAGCATAAGTGGATACCTTGATTAAGTAAAATAGCAAATTCACTTACCCACTAAACTGACTTTTTTGTTGCCAGTTTATTGGATAATCTTATAACTTTCTAAAGTAATTCTCCTAATAATATGAGTAGATTCGTACTTAAGAAAATGGATGTGAGAGGAGCATTTCCCCCTAGAAAGATCCGTGGAAAAACTCTGATAAAAATGTCTCAACCAAAACCAAAAGAAAAGTCAATTCTATTGACTTTAACTGCAGAGAAAGTTGCCTTTAAGTAGTAATTAATTAGTGATTAAAAATATGGGATTATCCGTTTTCAAGTTACACGTGCCTGGCTTAAGTCTAGTGCTTAGTCATGTATACATCCCATCTGTCCCAATGCCATCCAATCCAACTGTCTCAAACAATGAAACAGTGGTGTCAAGATTCTAAAGGCCCACCCAGACCATGGCTGCGAAATAAAGTAATAGCTGTCCCACTTGATTCCCAAGTTTCCATTAATCAAACTCTTAATATTTTATTAAGGTTTCAATTTTTAATTAGGGTTTAATGCTATTTCCAATGAAAGACCAACACCAAACAAACAGGCATCTTTATGGCTACATAACCAATTATTAGAGTCACACATAAAATTTAAATATTATTTTTTAAAATATTAATGTTATTTCATTTAATTATTAATAATTGTGATTGTTAATTAATAAATAATAAAGCAACTTATATTTCTTATTCAATGAATTAAAATCATTTTATACATTTATATTTTTAAATGTTATAATTAATATTTAAAAAAATTATATTATTTTAATATTTTTAATATATAACCATAATCACAA